GCTATATACAGTAAATACAGGCCATTTTAAAGTAAAACCGGTGAAGTCGTGACAGAAAAAGATTTCTCAGCTTCTTGGTTGTGTTTATTAATTCTAACTCCATCTGCTGCACAGACGCTGAAGCAGTTCTTCATGGTTTCCTGGGTTTGGGGCCTTTCAGGTACCAGGACTCGTCGTGCTGCATGGCCTCGGTGGCTGCGAGGTTCTGGGGTCCGTCCGTTTGCTGCTCGCAATCCAAACTCTCAGGAACTAGCAGCTTGAAACTGGGAAGAGGCCGCTCTCTTCCGCCCATGTCATCTGGCTGGAGATGTTCAGGAGTGTCGGGTCTCGGGGGCGGAGCCGTGTCTCCGGGGCCCGTGGTGGTGGAGGTGGCAGAGCCGGGTACCGGTGAGGGCCACAGGGAGCTGTTCGAGGCCTGTCGGAGCGGAGACCTGGAGCGGGTTCGGAAACTGGTGACGGCCGAGAACGTGAACAGCAGAGACACGGCGGGCCGGAAATCCACGCCGCTGCACTTCGCTGCAGGTGAGACGCTCAGGCTTGATTAACCTGTCAGATAACAGCATGTCTGCCATCTTCTTTTTACAGTGTTATGGTCTTTTCCAGATTTCAAAATTTAAAAAAAAACATAATATTAATAATAATTATCTCATTATATACTGATGACGTCCTCGTGTTTCTGCCAGACGCTAACACGGCTTCACATTCATAAGTAGCATGAATGGTTTAAAGCATATGTAATGTTATTGTATGTCTAATTGGTTTAAAACAATATAAACAGCTGTTAGCACACAGAGAGCACAAACCCAGGCAGCTCAGTCTCCTTGTGATCTTCATCATTTCTGTATGTTCATGTTGTTTTCTTTGTTCTTTTGAAATGTACTTTAAGAAGTTTGTACTGCAATAAAAAGAAGTGCAAGTTTTATGCTGTTGTTATTTTCCTCAGACTTGGGTGGAGGGAAGCCGGATCTGTGTGGATGGTTATCATGACCTCGCTCTGCAGCTCTGCAGAGTTTCATCAGCGTTCATTTAAAACTTGGAGCGGTTGTGTTTTTCTTTGTCAAACTGACTGCAGTGATGTTTCCGCTCACAAAACTCTCCGTGCGTCTCTTCTCCCCTGTGATGATGATGATGATGAAGCTGTCTCCTCCCTGTACAGCCCCGTTAGCTCGTTG